CTAACCGCGCTAACGAGCTAACCGCGCTAACCGCGCTAACGAGCTAACCGTGCTAATGTGCTAATGACCTAACCGCGCTAACGAGCTAACCGCGCTAACCGCGCTAACGAGCTAGCCCACAGGGGCTGCACGGCCTAAAATCCTTTCATTTTCTCAAAAATCGACAGCGCACCTTATGTATGAATTCTGGTTGTGCTTACTGAGCGTGAACCGATTTTATGTGGTACACGGCGCTCAGCAATCTGTCAAAAAATGTTTTAGCACGACTTTGGTAAGCTACGCTTGATGGATTGTTGGAGCATTATGGCTACTGTAGTCTGGAGCCTCATGGAGTGATACGTACTGTGCTTCAACGTAATATTACCGTATTGTGTGTGTATAAGGACCATAAATGGCACCTGTTAAAAGACATGGTAAAAAAACAAATCGAGATATATATCGTATATCAAGATATGAATTTTGGGTCATATCGCCCAGTCCTATTACTTACCAACCAACCAGCAACTAATGCTGAATATATATCATATATATGTTTGTGACCAATGTCACTTGGTGAGACATTTCCTGCAACTATTGGCCAGCTCGTTGGGGAACACATATTTTTCCTTAGTGACCAGTGGTTACCATGGAGTCATTGGCCAGTCCTTAACCATACATGACCGGGGCCTAATATGGTCACTTCTGGCTCCAAAGAGATGTCCATAAAGTGGAGTGATCATCATCCAGTCTTTGACATTAGATGGGTATGCCCATCGTTTACACACTATAATTTTAAAAGTGGTCATTCCAGCTATCACATGGTCTTAGCTATTAGTCACTGGTTCTACCTGCAGTGCCACATTTAGATCATTTTGGCTTAAATATAACAATTAATAAAAAGCAGTGATACTTGAAAAGGAACTGTTTCCTGATGTACCAAACTAAGAATTGATTACCTCCAGACTATTGAATCTTCTTTAGTGTGTTGGCATTCCTGTGAGTTACATCATCTAAAAGCTCTCAGTTTGGCTCTCTCAGTGTTTATGTGGCAGGTCTGCTGTGATTACAACTTGACTAATTGGATCTGGAGAGCCGAGGCGTCTTTTCCCACTAACAGCAAGTCAAACGCTGTAATTCATCCGGCTTTTCCTTGTTATCCGAGAGTGACACACACACACACACACACTGTGTAAGTTATAGGTGATGGAAGGAAGGAGTGGAGGGAGTGGAGAGGGAATCACCGTCACATCGTACATCAGCTCGGCTCATGCCCTCCATCCTAACATCTCTCTCTCACACTCAGACGCAGAACAGCTGATGTAACAGGTCAATCATGTTTGATTTGTCTCCAGGGACCGCCCTGTGGCAGCTCCGATTGCTGCTGTTACCTTCACCTCCCCCGTGCAGCCTCGCCTCAGCGTGCACACTAACACACACACAGACACACACTTAATTACACACATACACCCAATCTTGTCAGGCGAACAGGCGCAGCAGCGCACGCGACGTATGAACACTGACAGCTGAATTAACTGCTTGGGATACTCTGTGCTGTCCCTGCAGACTGCCTGTCATGTGTGTTATTGTGTGTGTGTGTGTGTGTAATTGTAACATGACCGCACAAGACCTTGGTGCAGGTTAAACATAAAGGCCAACCACATGGTGACTTTGGTGACAGATAACTGTCAGGCAGACGGCCCATTGTTTTCTGCTGCCACAGCTGATGGCTGCCACACATGTGTACACATGCGGTGTATCATGAGCTCCACACACACAAAGCCTTATGTCAGCTGTGAGTTATGTGAAACAGCAGCATATAAGTTTGACACATGTCATGTCTGATAATGAGGGAAAGCAAGATGATTTGTTTAATCTTTCCTTTCAGCTCGTATTTTGGTCAAAATGATTTTAAACTAAGTTTAGAACAAAAGAAGAACTTTGAAATACTGCCTCACAGTTTCAGTGTTGTAGTTTAATCACCAGCAGTTATAAAAAAAACCTTAAGAAAACATTTTAGTTTCCTAGAAACCATTTAAAGTTAGCAGCTGTTTAATAGTAAGAGCAGCATGGTTTGGCTACGATGAATGAGCAGCTCTTTGTTGG